GATCCAAACCTATCCCCCACCCTTCCCCTGTTTTCTTTTAAATTTTCAAGAGAAGTGCATCTGGGAAGACAATCCAGATGACAAATCAATACATCCACTTGCTTGTGTGTATTTGAAGATGTGTTTTATCTTATAGATGCCTTTCCTTTCCTTAAAGTGATCATGTAGTTCAGAGGAACTAGTGGAAGACCATTAGTAGTACAGACTACCATGATGATCAAAGATTTCACCGTAGAAATTGACTTATGAGGATCCAGATATTTTAATGTTGTTTGGAAAGGGACAAGAAATAAATGTTGCCAGATATGGCTAGATTCTGACCCAGGCTCTTGAGCCACAACCAATGCTCCTGTCGCTATGTTGCTTACTGTCTTCTTTCACACAATTTGTAGCCCTGCTGTTCTCTTGGCATCTGTGGTGACATCTTTCTGGCACAGTTAATTCCTGCCTTACTAGTTTTCCTATGCAGTCTAGTTATTTGCTTGAATGAAAATTGTGGTAAATATAAAAAAGGCCTTGTACTTGACTTTTATTTTTCTTGCGGTGCCTTTGTTTCTTAGCATTTCAGATAATGTTATCTGGAGTAGGGAGCATCAAATTATAGGGATTTATGAAATTATATTATCTTACTCATGTGCTCGTAGTTGCACACAAAGAGTCAAAAACCTGTCTGTACATGAGTAAGATAGTATTTTCTGATGTCTGTATTTATCAGTGAATGAAATCCAGGAGATATCATTTCGGAAAGCTTCAAACTACTGCTTCTGCAGAGCTGCTGCAGCTGTTCATTATTTGTGAAGTATCAAAAGGTGAGGTTCCCCAAAAGGCAATCGCAGACTGGATTTGATATGTGAGAGGACAGACAAACATAAGGATAAAGGGAAATAACAGTTTATGAACACATTTACAAATACTGGAAATCTGGATTCATAAAAAGAGTGGTCCATGCTTGTCTGCAATCCTTTTTCCAAGAAAGGATTCATTTACTTCCATTCCCATCCATGTAACTGAATCAAAAACATTTGTAGCCACAGATCTCTTTTCACCTTCATTGTTGGAAGAGAATAATTGTTTTTATTACTTTAAAAACTGTGAAACAGCAGCTGCCTTGGGCAACTGAAGTCTTTCTTTATCTTTCTGCAACAGACAATGGTTCCTAGTTCCATGTTCCAGCAGTATTTCTACTCAAGCCAACTAGAAGTGTGCAGATACAAAGTCTTTTTCAAGTTTTGAAAATGTAGTTTCTGAAAAACAAAAACAAAATTTGAATTGGTATTTCTAATAACAGTGATAAAATTTGTCACAAGGGGCATTTAGCACAAGCAAATGATTACATTATTTAAATTACAGAGGACACAAACTTTGAAACTACTTAGAAATTTATGCCACCAGCATCACACTGCTTCTGTAACTTTTTACAACAAATCAAGGTGTCACTATCTCAGGATTGTTATTGATATGTGAATTGTGTATTATGCTTTTATGATTTTAAATTGTATACTGTTGATTGTTATATTTTGTTGTAAACCGCGTTGAGTCGCCGGCTAGGCTGAGAAACAGCGGTATACAAGCATAGCAAATAAATAATAAATAAGTAGGTCTCTCAATGCAGCCAATATTGGTTTGGTTTTTGAAATAGAATGAAATTCCTGCTGAATTCTGGTGCTCATTTGAATTTTCATGAGCACATTATTGTTTTTTAGTTTAACTTACAGTATCAGTGAGAGGACATATTGCGAGCTGTAGACTTTGTTAGCCTGATTGAGTCTCCCTTGTCAAAAATGCTTGGGATCAGAAGAGTTATTATATTTTGTATTTATTTTTCCCCAGAGTCTGGAGTTTTTGCATTTACATCCTTCATTCATTTATGTTTCATATGAACTTTAGACACATAGCCTGGATATTTTAAAATAATTTAGTGTATGAAACAAATTTTGTGTGCATTGTACCACCAGAAAGCAAAGGTGTCACTATCTCAGTGACCCATGTTGACAATTTTGGATTTTGGAATATTTCAGATTTAGGAATTCCAGATAAGTGATACTCATCCTAATTATAATTTTACCTGTGTTACTTTCATTATAGCACATTTTGCCATAGCACATTTTTGGCACAATCAAAAGCTGTCCTTACCCTCAACTCACAATTTCTACATGAAAGGAGGGTGGGAGTAGATATAGTATTCAAGTGAATACAATTAAAGAACTTTCAATTTGGGAAAACCTGATATGATGGGATGTACATAGAAAAAAATTCATTTAATGTGGCTACATTTCCCCTGTAGACCTTTCTCATTAATTTAGGAATTTTGCCTGCAGGAGAGTGGGATGAGCGTGTATCTCATCCATACGTATAATAGAGTTTATATTTCCTGGAAACTGGATGACTAGTGAGAGGTTCTTATCCTATTGAAGGAACATAGTGATTACCAGAAAGGTAGGAGCCCCAGTGGTGCAGTGGGTTAAACCCTTGTGATGGTAGGACTGCTAACTGACAGGTCAGCAGTTCAAATCTGGGGAGAGTGGGTTGAGCTCCCTCTGTCAGCTCCAGCTCCCCATGCGGGGACATGAGAGAAGCTCCCACAAGAATGGTAAAACATCGGACATCCAGGCATCCCCTGGGCAACATCCTTGCAGATGGCCAATTCTCTTACACCAGAAGCAACTTGCAGTTTCTCAAGTTGCTCCTAAAAATGCTCACAAAAAACCCAGAAAGGTTCTTTATTGTCCGAATAACTTGAAGTAACAAAAGGCTGTCTGGACCAGGATATCTTCACACATTCTCTTTCATCTTATCACTGGATTTCATCTATATGACAGGCTGTTGGGAGCCTGATAATTCTAAGGATGAGGTCAGTGGGGACAGCCATCTCTGTCTATCTTCATTTGTAAAAGTGATGATTCAGGGCAAAAGTTCTGGGCACTGACAAGTATCATCGGAAGTAACTCACAATAAGTCCAGCAAGGCTTAGTCCAAGAAAAATCAGTGTAGGATTGGAGTCTTTAATGTGCTGTGAGTTAAGCTTGTGTTCAAATACAATTGAGATCTGAAGGCTCATGTCTTTGTGTGACCAGATTCCTAAGAAAAACTGAATAATCTGTGGGAGAGCTTTGAACAAAAGAATAAGCAGAAAAACAGAGCTCTACTTATTTCTAGTGCTTGAAAGACATGAGTTTCAAGCAATGCAGTTACCTTTAACTCATGGCTGCATCAAGGGATTTAATTTTCAAAGATTGTGTGTAAAAGGTGTTTTTACTAGTGTTTTCATGTGAAGTTTCCTGCCACATTCTAAGGAGATTCTTTCCCTCAAAAGAACATCAAGATCAAATTGTAGACAAAAATGAGCAGTGCAACAAATAACATAAGAAATTGCTTGACATATTTTACTCATAAAAAGTAACATTCAAAGTGTATTCCTCACTATATTAAGGCAGTGCATATGCATTTCCTTTGCTGATCTTTACATCTGAATTATCTAAAACATTACATTTACTGATTCAGACTTGGGTATCATTAAATGTATCAGTTGATTTTGATATATAAGACTATACCAACACAAAGGTCTATGGTACTACCTGCTCACTGATGCTGTAGCGCAACAATATAGCTGTTTATTGTCGAAGGCTTTCATGGCTGGAATCACTCAGTTCTTGTGGGTTTTTTAGGGCTATATGGCCATGTTCTAGAGGCATTTCTCCTGACGTTTCGCCTGCATCTATGGCAAGCATCCTCAGAGGTGAGGTCTGCTGGAACTGGGAAAAAAAGGGGTTTATATATCTGTGGAATGACCAGGGTGAGACAAAGGGCTTTTGTAAGTTGGGCTAGGTGTGAATCTTTTCAATTGACCACCTTGATTAGCATACAATGGGCTGACTGTGCCTGGAACAAACTCTTCTTGAAAGGTGATTAGATGTCCCTGCCTGTTTTTCTCTCTGCTGTTTTAATTTTAGAATTTTTTAATACTGGTAGCCAGATTTTGTTCATTTTCATGGTTTCTCCTTTCTGTTGAAATTGTCCACATGCTTGTGGATTTCAATGGCTTCTCTGTGTAGTCTGACATGGTGGTTGTTAGAGTGGTCCAGAATTTCTATGTTCTCCAGGTTGGTTCATCAGGTGCTCTGCTATGGCTGATTTCTCTGGTTGAGTTAGTCTGCAGTGCCTTTCATGTTCCTGGATTCTTGTTTGGGCGCTGCGTTTGGTGGTCCCATGTCAGACTACACAGAGAAGCCATTGAAATCCACAAACATGTGGACAATTTCAACAGAAAGGAAGAAACCATGAAAATGAACAAAATCTGGCTACCAGTATTAAAAAATTCTAAAGTTGCAACAGCAAAAACAGCAGAGAGAAAAACAGGCAGGGACATCTAATCACCTTTCAAGAAGAGTTTGCTCCAGGCACAGTCAGCCCATTGTATGCTAATCAAGGTGGTCAGCTGAAAGATTCACACCTAGCCCAACTTACAAAAGCCCTTTGTCTCACCCTGGTCATTCCACAGATATATAAACCCCTTTTCCCAGTTCCAACAGACCTCACCTCTGAGGATGCTTGCCATAGATGCAGGCGAAACGTCAGGAGAAATGCCTCTAGAACATGGCCATATAGCCCGAAAAAACCCACAAGAACTGAATATAGCTGTTATTTCTCTGAAACAGGTTTGCAATTTTGGACTTGAGACAAGTAATTGGTTTTATTTTCATATATCCAAGTCAAAGGAACATACATTGGCTGGATTTCCAGTCTAAAATTGCATAAAGTATGAGAAAGCTAAATAATTTATTTTTAATGAATGGTTGTTCTATAAGCAATTCTGCAATGCTGGGGTAAATCTGCACATTTGTTTGCATGTATGTGCACATACACATACTATTCATCAACTGATAATGAAGTCCATTCGTTAATTTTATTGAACTGACTATAATGGTATGATACATTGGGGGAGTTATGTTTTAATCTCCTATTTATAAACTAGAGTGCATCCTATATCTCTTCATTTTAAGGTAACTGAGCTGCACAACATCAAAAACATAACTAGACTGCCTCGAGAGACAAAGAAGCATGCAGTGGCAATTATCTTTCATGATGAGACGTCAAAGACATTTGCCTGTGAGTCAGGTAAGCAATTATTACTGCATCTTCAGCTTGAGTAAATTGAGCTGCTTATGAAACAAAGCTTCAGATGGATTAAGATATAGCATTTAAACAGACTGCCTTATCTTAATGGGAAAGTGCCACCATATCTTTCTTTAGCATGCAGCATTAGGTATCTGTGTCTCTCTCTGTGTGTGTGTGCATGCATATTTCTTCCCCATTTTAAAAGGTCTAGTTTTTATCCTTGTTTATTATTTGCCTCTATCTTGGTTTGGCCCCAGATTGGATGGAAGACTCTTGAGGCTTTCAGCTAAAATTCCAGAATTGAGTAAACAATGCCTATGGGATGTTATTAAGACAAGCAGTGATGTGAAATCTCATTTATTTGCCAAGTATTGCTGTAAGCATTTGCTAGGATAGTAATAATCCTGTCACTGTGAAAGAGCAGGAAAGAACAGCTAAAATTCCAGGATGTACTGAACTTCAACTTCAAATTGTTTGTGATTAGATTCGTTGTTCAGTACCACAAATAAAAATGTTTATGGTTCATTAAATTAATTGCCATTGAGGAAAGTAATCATTTTTGGTTTTAAATAATAATTATTCTATAGAAATAAATGATGTTATTGAGAAGCAAATCCAGTATTGTAACTCATTAACTTTTATTCCTTACAACAATGCCTACATCTTTGTTGAAAACATAAGAAGAAGCCATTAGACCAAGGCCTATCTGGCTCAGCGTACTGATTTCCACCGTATCCAACAAGTATCCTGTGGGAAGCCCATGTTCTCTTCCATGTCGATTTTGCAATCTTGATAGTGACAATTGCCATATCTTGATAAATATATAAAGTAGTGTGTCTGTTCTCCCATCTTTAGTTTATTGAGCGATTCTGGACTCTAGTAATGTGGGAAAGTGAGTCATCTACTACAAGGCTTGAACCAATGTAACCAAGTCTGCCTTCCCCAAGGAAGGCCCTAGCTGGTGAACCAGCCAAAGGTGGGCAAAGGCAATCTTGACCCTGGCAACAACCGGACTTTCAGGAGCAATGTGAAAAAGTACCCCCAACCTATAAATGGAATCTTTCAGAAGGAGTGCAACTCCATTCAGAACCGACTGTGATCTCAATCCTAGATTTGTTTGCCTACTGACCAGAGCACTTGCATCTTGTCTGAATTAAGATTCAGTCTGATTTACTCGTGTCCTTTACTGCATTCAGAACTACCACAGTTTTGTTGACATCAGTCATAAAGGAGAGATACACATGGTTATCATCAGCATACTTATAGCAGACCCAAAAAGCTCTGAATGACCTCTCCCAATGGCTTCATGTAGATGTAGAAAAGCATAGAGGCAGTATTAATCCTTGTGGAAGTCCACAGGTTAAATGGCCAATATGCTGTTTGGATGGAACATAGCCCTCTTTCAAAAAACACTTAGAACCTCCACCTTCCAACTGGTCTGTCCTCTTCTAGAAGCTTTAATTAACTACAGCAGACATAGACCTAACAACTTATCCATATCATCATGCTGAACAAACTGAAATTCATAAAAACTGGTCAAGTATGTCCCACAGTTGCCTTCTCAGAATCTACCTTCAACATGGAATCCAAGTCTGATCAAAACCAAGCAAGTACGTGTTTTGTTGCAGCACTCTTCTGAGGGTTTCCCATCAGTATTCTGATGGTTAGCTTGCAATAATCCTTTAATTATCCAAAACAACTTCACTGGACAAGATTGAATTGATGTAAAAGAGGCAGCAGAGTAGGTTCGAAAATTGTTTCAATCTATTCTCAAACAGATTCAGCTTCTGTCTTTCTCCACCATCACTCTAGTCGTCTACCCACATTATTATCCTGGGCTCCTCAGAAGACCAAGGAACTTGTGTTCTGCATCCAAATAAAGAACTCTTGAGAGCAACTATGTCAATTGACCAGGCCATTCTTCAATTCCAAAACTCAACCAGAGCACCAGCAGAAACACCAACTCTAGCATCTGAATTCAGGAATCCTTCCAGGTCTGTTTGGAGTCCCTACAAATCTGTTGTACATAACTGTTGATCCTCTGAAACAATTCTAAAAGTCCAGTGAGGGAAGATTTCCGTTTAAAGAAGTAATTGTTATCCCTCTTTAGGAATACTTTTTCTTCAGTGTACTTGATAAACACAACCCATCCACCCACCCCCCAAAAAAACTAATCAATTTTTCTTAATTTATTGGTTTTTGGACCTGTTCCTGGGGTTATTTGGGGCACTGATTCAGAAAGCTGCATTGGATAGAACTCATCAGCTCTAGTTCCTTAGATATGGCTATCATGATTTTCTATGGGTGAACAGTTAGCGACTGGTAGATGACATTATGTCCTGCATTTCAAAAACTAGAGCTGATGGGGGGGAAACTGGTGCCAGTTTTGGAATCAGCTGGTCAGATATACCCAGAGTCAGGGCTAATATTGGAAACACCAAAATGTATGTTGGCCAGTGATTTATCTGTGATGCTGTTTTCCACTGGTTTAACTAGAATAGATATTAAGATAGCTGGTTCATAATTTCCTGCTCACTTTCATGTCTCTTCTGTAAATATGTCAATAAAAACCACTATATATATTCAAATCTTAGAAATATGAACTGTTGTAAGATACTTGAACTATTGCAAGCTGAATACTATGGAAAGTTTCTAAGGACAGTGAGATTTAGAATTTATCCATGTATATTTTTATACAGTAGTGCCGTGGAAGTATAACTAAGGAAGATATTATAATGGAACTCAAAAATGAGTTTCTTAGAGAAGGCCAAAGTCAGACCTTTAAAGACTTTAACTGTGCTCAGTTCAAAAGATGTGATGAGATTGAACCCAATCAGTTGTGGGTTTCCTTCCCAGAGTATGAGAACTGCCTACCATCATTAATTCAACCTTCTCTAGATTCTATTACACATAGAGGTCATTTTGTTCAGTATGTTGGAGTCAAACAGTTCAGTATCTTTTCATCCAGTAGTTTAAAATTATAGCTTAACAGAAGAGGAAGTAAGAAGGAATAGAACTTCATAAAAGATTTTAAGCCATATTTGTTTTAATAATAAGAGTAGTGACTTTTGGAATGATAGTGGATTTCTACATTGAGCTGTTTTATCTGCAGGTGATATAAATTTGATTTCAAAATTGAAACAAAGACATTTTGATCACAAATCTCTTGATCTTTCTTAATTTTTCTGAAACATTTAGGAAGGGCTGTTTTGTTTCAAAAAGATTCAGATGCTGGCTTCCCAGTTCATATTTCAGTGATTCATAATTCCGAATAATCCGAATCTCCTGAAATACGAAACAACCTCTGAAATTTTGCACACCCTTATTCTGGAATAATTTTTATTTTGGCATTTTGGATAAAGGAAGCTCCATCTGTATAAAACTTTCAGAATTTGGAAGCCATGGGGGTGGTGAGGGGAGAAAAAGGCTTGGATGAAGGACTCCCAAAATGTTCTATGCCTCACCATTCTGATACATGACTTCTCTGAGCTGGCAATCTATTTCACTGATTCCATGAAAATGTTACTGAGAGACAAGAACTACATATGTAACAAATCTACACATGACTCCAACTTACTTCTCGCCCACTCAGGTTTGCCTTGTATTACTGATGTGACATCTGCTGGCCATGTGTTAAGAGACCTCTGAAGGATATGTGTCAGCATAGTGGCAGACCTCCAACCTCACCAAGGAATTGTATTTCCTGCAATGCTTTAGTCCAGTGGTTCTCAACCTGGGGTCCCCAGGTGTTTTTGGCCTTCAACTCCCAGAAACCCTAACAGCTGGTGAACTGGCTGGGAGTTGTAGGCCAACAACATCTGGGGACCCCAGGTTGAGAACCACTGCTTTAGTCCCTCCAAAATGGCCTGTGTGGGATGCTGGGAATGCACTCTTAAAAGAGGGTACTTTTCCATTTGTAAATTGAAGAAATTAAGGAGGCGTTCTTTCTTAAATTAAGGAAATTAAGCAAAACAAACCTTTCAAGAATAGACCTTGTGTCTATGTTATAACTTAAAATACAAGTAGACTTTTCCCAATTCATTATTCTACACACTGCTGATTTCATTTGAAAAACATCAGAGGAGCAAACATCAAATCATTTTGGAAAGCCATGGTAAATCTTACAGATGTAAATGGCTAGGGATTTAAGTCATCTAAGCAGTAAAGACTATATTGTTAGTTCTCCCGATGGGCTAGATTGTCATTAACTCCCATGAGGCATAATTGTGGAGGCAAATCAAGTAAAACTTTGCTGATGATATATATTCATACATGTGCTAAGTTCATGGATTCTCAAGAGATATAATACAGCCAGGGACTGTATTATTACAATTTGCCACCATCTGTAGTTTTGTTAAATCCAGGTAGAATTGCAAAAAGTTGGCTTTTTCAGTCAAAGGAGTTTGCTGGAAATAATATCTGAACTGCGTTTTATTTCGTTTTCCAGGTTATGTGAAGTGAATTAAACCAACTGATTTAATGTTGCCAAACTAATATATTTATCTTTGTTGTTTAATGGCTTTTTTGCATCAATTGCAGAAAGAGATAAAGATAGAGAAAGAAATAAGATTATTAGATCATATAGGTTCTACCATAGCACTATTGCATAAACCTGAAAGGACATCATGTTTTGCTGTTCTTGCAGATTGCTCATAAAAAGGAGAGGATTGGTTTTGTAAGAACAATCATAATCTAAAGGCAATGTGTCAGCTTGCATATCATAAAGCAAAAAGGAACAATTTATTAAATTCCTTTGTCCAATTCATAAATGTTTTCCATTTATGTTTTGCCTTTATCTGTGCTGGGCAGGAAAATTCCTCTGTTTGGCTACTGACCAGAGCTAGACCTACTTTGCTTCACCAAATTTTCTGGAATGTGTGTCTTCAGTTTTAGACGTTTTTGCTAGTCTTAAATTTACATTCAGAGAAAATTCAAAATTTTAACAAAAGATAAAGCTTCTTCAAAAGTAACCATAGCATAACTTTGTGTTTCTTAACGCC